GTTAGGTTTTTTTTCCTTTTTTAATTAGGAGTAAATTGGGTTTTTGTTTTAGGATGATGTGTCAATTTGTAAATCCATTAGATTAAATTTTAATGAGGTGTCGTATGTATAACAAAAATATAGCAGATCATGGCAGAGAAAATCAGAGCAGAGGATCTGTATCCTCTTGGGGAGGCTTTCCATGTTTCGTGGCTTCATTTTATTTTATGTTTGAATAAAAAAAACTTCATTAGAGACCAATCATTGTAATAAGAAAATGCACCCATGGTCAGACTCAGCTGTTGGAGAATGACAAAAATTGCCATGTGGATATAAAATGACAAAAATTAAAAGTTAAAGTTACTCAAACCGAGAAGATATGTTAAAATAACATATCTAAAAGCTTGATGTCATTTAATATTTTTTTTAGTCATGAACCCCACTATCATTTTATATTATTTAAAACTTTATGTATTATATGAGCTCCATTTGCTTAAAATATAATAAAATAATATAATATTTGGCATTTCGGGTGGAGTTAAAAAAAAATTTAAATGTCAAATTGTCACATAAGCCATCAAATGATGCTTTAACGAGAGCGAGCGTCCTCGTAATTTTCTTTGAAAATGAGAAGACTGTCCGAATACTTTTGCATTTTTTTAAGAGTGCTGCTAAACGAACCCTAAAATTAACTGAGTACACCCTATGATCTAAGTACACCCTAATATTTAAATCAAAATGTAAAATTAACTAAGTACACTCTATTTAATTACCAAAAATCCCCCGGATACACCCTAATCCACTCTATCACACAGCAGCAAACCCATTCGAATCTGGTAACAGCATTCATCAAGGTCAATTGGCATACTAAATTATTCGGAAAATGTCAGTAGACAGGTGAAAATGTCATCCATTGATGAGTAGAATCCCAAACTATCAAAAAGAAGACTTGTGTTCCACACAGTATCATTATAGGCCTGATACAAGGACCTATATTAGATCTTTAAGCACAAGGTCTGAATCAAACTGACAAAACTAAAAATTGAAACTTCAAACCCCCATAACCTTATTCCTTATGTGGGATAACATAAAAAATAAAAAAAATAAAAATCGATAAGTGAATTATAATTTCTTAGCTAATCTTGATCAAGAATAAGAAAGTTACAATAGAGGAGATACAACAAACATACAGAAAAAGTAGAGATAATTTGCAATAATGCACAATCGTAAAGTTGAAAAGTACTCACTGCGAGAGGCATTTCAGATATTTCATTTTCAATATAGACATCACCCATTAATTCTTCGAATCCAGAATTATGCAACAAAACTATTAAGGTGATACAACAAGACAACTTAAAAGGACGAAACTTTGACACAATCAGTATATAACAATAAGAACCCAGATGCGTAAATCAATCATATGATGAGAAAAACACAACAAATTAACCCCATTCTTTCAACATACTGAACTTAAGTAACTCATCATCAAAACAAAATGTAATAAAGATATCAGATAGCAACTTACAGTCAAAGAAGGACAATCTGCAGAACCCAGAAACAGCCTGTGGCTCAGCAGAAGCAAAGCCAATTTAATTTATAGAGGGAAGAAGAGAAGGAACAAAAATCTGCAGACCCCATTTCCAAGGAAGTTTAAACTTGCTAAACATGAGCTGTCATAATTTTGAATCCCATCAATAAACATAGAAGAAAATGAAGTTGGGATACCCCTGGGAAATCCTATCTTTGTATGATCAGTGTGTCTGGCTTTTTCTCCTTCAACCACTAAATGGGCCTTCCTCAGTTTTATCTTTTAATTTTCCTTATATTTGAATTCTCTCTGCATCACTTTCCCTGATTCGAGTTTGAATGAATTAGCCCATGTACCTCGCTCAACCACATAATGGAATAGGGTTTCTATCTATTTTTCCCAGTTAAGCAGATTCTTCAACTCAAATCCCAAAAGTTTCAATCTTTATTTTCTTAGTTTTCACCCAAATTGAATTAGGTTTCTTCAATTTTTTAGAATTTCAATACACAATTACCAAATTCCAATTTCAATTCCAAGTAAGCACGTATGAACTTGCTCGGTATTTGGAGGTTTTTAAATCTTTTTATTGTCAATAAAAGGAAATAACAGAGTTTTTGGAGTAGGGTTTTTCGTTTATGTTTGATTAGAGTTGAATATGGTGAGTAGGGTGTACTTATTAAAATTACATTTATTTCATAATTCAAAATATCCTTTTTGGTAATTTTATATTATGATAAATTAGTAATTCAATAAATAGTTTAATAATATGGTGTACTCAGTTAATTTTAGGGTTCATTTTAGCACCACTCTTTTTTAATCATCGAAGTGTAAAGAGAGGGCCCTTTTATTTTTTGTCGAAGTAAAGAGAAACCTTTAAGGTCAAATGGTCAAGAAGGTGTACGGACCAACCAATTGTTCAAAAGAACTTCCCCGCTAAGTAGAAACCCCCGAATAGTACCATTTCTCTTTCGGCGTTTCTTTTATTGATGAAAGGAAGCTGCCTTCTCCATTGGGTGAAAGGGTTGCTAAATGCTAATGTGTATGTATGTATCTTTCTTGTAATGCATGACAGTGCTCCTCGTACTATTACAAGATTCCTAGACTTCTCTTTTTCTCTTTTGATTGACACTGATCATGTGCATATCTTTTCTCTCTCTGCCTAGCTTTGTGACTAAGAAAAAATCCAATATCCTTTTATCTCTCTATTGAAGTGGGTTTTTGTGAACTGAGTTGAAAATCATATGCTTTACTTACACTGAATGCATATAAGAAAAGAAAAGCCAAGTGTGGGAGAGAGAGAGAGTGATTGACTGAGTGAGTGAGTGAGAGGAGATGGAGGAAGCTAAAACAGAACGTTTCAGTGATATCGTGTTTTCTTGGTCGCTCGAAGACATTTTCAATGAAAATCTTTACAAGAACCAGGTATTTTCTTGCACTTCGTTCACGTAACGTTTCCTGAATCGTTTGTCATTTTATTCTGAACCTTTTTTTTAATTACTGTTTCAGGTGGAAAAGATTCCTGAGTCATTTCATTCGGTTTGGCAATATTTTGGGTCTTATATACATCCTTTATTGGAAGAAACTCGAGCACAGGTGCATTCAAGTATGGAAACTATTGACAGAGCACCATTTGCTGAAGTGGTTGGTTTTGAAGAATGCAATCCTCATGGGGTTGGGGCTTACGGGAAAAATGTATATGATATCAAGGTTGATTGCTGGAGAAACAGGTTCAGTAATCTCGGCAAGGAGCCATACAAAACTTTGCCTGGGGATCTTTTTGTCTTAGCAGATGCCAAACCCGAAACTGTTTCTGATTTACAAAGGGTATGGAGGTCCTGGGCTTTTGTTTCAGTCACTAATGTCTCAGAAAATGAGAACGAGGATGATACTACTTTTCTTTATTTTAAAGTCAAGGCATCCAAAGAGTTTGAAGTCAACGATAGCACCCATACATCACTATTTTTGGTTTTCCTGGTAAATTTAATCCCTAATGGCAGAATATGGAAAGCATTGCGCATGTCCGGAAACCAGAAGATTATCAAAGAAGTTTTGTGCACCGATTCTGTGGTAAGACCTTCAAGATTGCCTTCACCAAAATGTACATGATCCAAGATGTAATGTAATAGTAATACTTACCACCACACAGCATACTAAATTATCAGTGTTACTTTTTTCATAACTAAATATAATAATACTCTAGTAATGTTGACACATTATCATCCTCTTTAAAGTTTAACAAGAAAAATGGCGTTTGTTGCTGCGATTGACTGAAAATCTTATGTTTGGTAAACAGGCTCAGAAAAACAATCATCTCTGTTCCTAAACAAATGATGGCATCCGGGATAAGTGGTTAGTTGAGAGTTCATCATGGGGATTGAATGAGTCCCAAACTGGGGCTGTTTTGGCATGTCTTGAAATGCTGCATTGTGATTCCAAGTCTACTGTGCAACTTATATGGGGTCCACCAGGTACAGGAAAAACTAAAACCACCGCTACGTTGCTTTTTACTCTGTTACAGATGAACTGTAGGACTGTTATTTGTGCCCCAACGAATGTTGCAATAACTGAAGTTGCTTCTCGTTTTCTAAAGATAGTAACTAAAGCAGAGTCCAAGTCCTTGTTCTGTTCTTTGGGAGAAGTTCTTCTATTTGGGAATAAGGAACGACTTAAAGTTGGTGCACACATTGAAGATATATATTTGAATTACCGTGTCAAAAAGCTAGGAGAGTGCTTGGGGCCAGTGACTGGTTGGAGGAGTTGCTTCGCTTCCATGATAGATTTTCTTGAAGATTGTGTTTCTCATTACCACGTTTTCTTGGAAAATGAGTTAACCGAAGAGAAAGAACATAATGGTGTTACTGAACTGAAAGAGAAAGAATGCAGAAGTGACACTGAACTTATCAAGGGGAAGTGCAAATCATTTCTTGAATTTTTCAGAGATAGATTTGTTTCTACTGCATTACCACTAAGAGATTGCATTTCTACCTTATGTACCCATATAGCCAAAAATTACATTTCAGAACATAATTTCCAAAACATGATTTTGCTCATATGCTTAGTTGAAACCATTGAATTTTTATTGGCCCAAAAAAATGTTGTTTCTGAAGCATTGGAACACCTTTGCTCTCGTTCAGAAGTTGAAGATGTGCCTGAGTCATTTGTAGATAACTCATTTCAGCTGTGCATCCATATAAGAGAATGCCTTTCAGTGTTACGTACTCTACAGGATTCTCTTAGTAGACTTCACCTTCCAAATGTTAGGAATGAAGAATCTCTAATGGAATTCTGTTTTCAAAGAGCTTCCTTAATATTTTGCACCGTGTCAAGTTCCTATAAGCTGCATAGAGTGGAAATGGAGCCACTGACAATTGCTGTTATTGATGAAGCTGCACAATTGAAAGAATGTGAATCAACAATAACCCTGCAACTTCCAGGTGTGAAGCATGCTGTTCTTGTTGGTGATGAATGTCAGTTACCAGCTACGGTGAAAAGCAATGTACGTCAATGCTACTTGGTCATACATATATATATCCTTTGTTTCTCTTATTGCAATTTTTCATTCCACTTCTAATTCATTTGTGTTTATATATAACTTTTTATTCATTTGTGTTTATATCTAACCTCTTTTCTTCCATAGGTTTCTAATGAGGCTGGTTTTTCTAGAAGCTTGTTTGAGAGGTTGAGCTCAATGGGTCACTCAAAACACCTTCTGAATATGCAATACAGAATGCATCCCTCAATAAGTTTCTTCCCAAATTCAAATTTCTATAATAACCAGATCCTAGACGCTCCAATCGTTAAAAAAAGAAGCCATGAGAAATTAAATAAATAAAATAGAGATGATGTTAGGGTTTGGTTGTTAAACAAATTAATTAAATAAATTTTAAAAACATAAAAAAGCTGATTAAATTAAAATAGAGATGATCCATGTCATGTGACACATCAGTTGGTAATAAAAAGTTGGTGTTTAAGTTGCTATCCATAGCATTACTGCTATTAAAATTACATTTGTTTCACAATTCAATATATCCTTTTTGGTCATTTTATATTAGGGTAAATTAGTAATTTAATAAATAATTTGGTAGTAAGGTGTACTCAGTTAATTTTAGGGTTCATTTAGCAACACTCTTTTTATATTATCTTAACCCTGGCTTGTTTTGCTTTTGGTCCGTTTTAATCAAACTGTTGGTATTTCAAGCCAAAGGCAAGACTGCCATTATTAAACCTATATAAGGCGTGTATTTCATTTTTTTATGAATTTGAAAGTATGCATGTGTTCCTCTAAAGAAATTCATACAAAAAATGCGTCCATAAATAAATATTACACTTTTTTCTTTCACATAGAAAACATATTTAGTTCGCTTCAATACCTAAATTACCAATATCTTTGATTCCATTTTTTTAATAAGTGATATTGAGGGAGGAGAATCAAACTTAAGATCTCGGATGGATGAATAAATACTCACTTGACTTACAAGCCTGTAAGTTCCAAATATGTAAATCAAGAACCTATCACCAAATAAATAAATATAAAAAAAGTAGCATTCAAAGTTCTGTTGAACTCCTACATATCAGTTTCAACAAGCATGAACTATTTTTATTTATCGCAACATACCATGCAAAATTTCAGGGTACATAGAATAGAACTGGTATAAATCTATCTGTTCATATTTTGTGTGTTTTCAAGACTAGTACATTTTATTGTGATCTGCCCTTTAGAGATTTTGGTTTATAGAATTGTCCACGCAAAAAAAGAAAAATGGCATGTTCGCCTTTTTGAAACTCATTATATTTTTACCTTCGTCTATCTGCCAAGGTAAGTCATGTTATGTTAAAGTTTTGCTTTCATCATGTTCTCTTGGTTTCTTGGTTTCTACTTCTTTTCTCCCTTTGGGCTTTAGAATAGAAGCTTTATTTCCCTTTCTTATAAACCCCCACCCCCCCCCACCCCCCAAAAAAAAAAAAACCTAACCCAGCCACCTATCTATAAAATTAAAAACAAGTTAATAAAAAAAGAAAAAGAGAAAGCCGAGAAAGCCCTTTCGTGTTTAATTTTAGAATTTTTTTAATATGAAAAAGTGTTCTTTTACCATATTATTTTTATTAAATTAATTATTTCTATTCTTAATGTTTGCATTAATTAAAGATATTTTCTAGTATTATGAATATTTCATCATTCTCTGACTTTTGCTATATATATAGGTATTAATTTTCAACAAAAAAATTATTGAAAATTAGATTAGATTTTCCTACTAAAGGCATATTAACCGACTAACATCGGCTTGTCTTTCGCGGGGCAGCCCGGCCGGATGACCAAATATACAAAACGCGCCGTCTCCTAAAATAGGCAGGCCCTTAGCCTCTCGACTAGGACTTTCTCCTCTCTCTCTCTCTCACTCGCTTCCCTCTCCTCCAACTAGGGCTTGGAGTGAGAATCGACTGGCCTTAAACCGTAGAACGCATTGCCTGAATATAGAAGACGATGCCTGGGCCGACCTTAGAGATGGAGCCAGTGGAGCCACAGTCGCTGAAAAAGCTCAGTTTCAAATCCCTCAAGCGAGCTCGCGATCTCTTCTCTCCTGCCCATGGTGAACTCGCCCCTCCTGACCCCGAAAGGTACCGCCATTTGCTTTGATTTCTATCTCTTCTTATTTGCCTCTTGACAAATTTGTAATGTTAATTCTTGCGTACTTTATTTTTTATTTTTTTGCAGTAAAAGAATTCGTACGAGCCACAAGGTTAGTGTCTTAATTTTGTTAGTTCGTTTCTGATTTAGAAGCTGTGAAATTATTGAGTTGAAGAATATTGCATTAGAATAAAAATTTTGGTTGAATTATTAGATAAGCGTGGAGTATGGAGGAATTGAACCCACGGCTAGTCAAAAACCGCCCCGCCGGGCTGAGTCCAGTGCACCAGGTCGCGGTCCTCAAGGGCCTTCCAATGCTCTTGCCCTTCCAGGTATTCTTTGTTCTGATTAAAATTTCAAAATGTTATTTGTAAGCAGTTGCCTGTAAGTTCTAACTACAAGTAGGGATTATTCAGCTTATTGTTTTGGGGAAATTGCATTTATTTGGGTATTCTATATTGACATTGTAACTTGCTAAAATAGTTGCTTGATATCATGTGTGTCGTGAAGATTCTAGGGACTCAAGTACGGAAGGAGCTCAAAATGCATTGGTTGTCGGTCCATCTGCACCAAGGGCACCGTAAGTAGTCTTGCTGGTGTATTAATGGTTTCTTATGCCTTTATTTAATCTCTCAATGTTTCAGATATTTTGACTTGCCCCCCTTCACAAGATATTTGCATATTCATGTACTCTAGTTTTCCACTTCTCTTGTTCAAAGTGATTGGGCTAAAATCTAAATCATATATGAGAATTATATGAGTGATTTGTGGAATTTGAAAGGTTATGTGTTTCTAATGTTGCTGGAATGTAAATAGATTGTGGAGTGAACTGTGATAATCATGTCCTTGTTTATTTCCAGGAATGATGTTGGCATTTCGGGTAGAGGCACGCTAGCTGTTTCTGCTCCAGGGTCATCCGAAAGGTTTGAGCTTTGTTCTTCTCTGAGTTGTTTTATGCACTTAGAATGCATGACTTAAACAAGCGATTTGCCTTCAGTTTTTGTTTTCATTCCAGACTGCAGTACATGTTTAATAGCTCAGTACTTGGCCTAAGCAGTGTATTATGCAATTCTTAGGCTGCTTGGAGTTGGTGAAGGGAGAAATATCTGCAATGTTAGATAAAAATCACCCTAGGGATGTTCTTGGCAATATAGAATACCAGTCAAAATGTTCAAAGAGTTAGATATGATTATGGTAATTTTGATGTTTCAACATAGATCCGCATTACATTGGTTTGAATCCCTTTGATACAGTTGAATACTTTTTTCATCAGTTTACTTTTATTCTACTACCTGAAATTTAGGCATGTCGTGGCCATTTTTCAGCATCTGCATGCATTATGCAGGGTTAGGATTGTATTAATTGGCATCATATTATGTGCTTCCAAAGTGTCTTAGATTGAAGCTTTTATTAGGTTTTTTTTTTATGGGATATTTTATGAAAATTGAAGATCCTAAACATTACAAGCTGGCTGATGCTCTATACCATCTTTCATTTCATTTTCTCTAATCTCGATAATACTATTATGGAAAATGCAGCCCATTTTTCCTTTAACTGTCACTTTTCTCTTCTCTAGGTATTCAACATCGGCTTTAATGGAAAGAATTCCTAGCAGATGGCCACGTCCTGTTTGGCATGCTCCTTGGAAGATCTACAGGGTAAGAACAATGTATTCTTAATCCTACACAGTTAGGAGCAGCAAGAAAAGTGCTAGGGCTTTTATTGTCTGAGTAACTTGGAGATTCTTATTAGATGAATGTTATTAGGAATGCAGTACTTCATGTTATATGAGTGCTAGTTTATATTTTTGTTGCCCTTGGTTCTGCATTTTCGTGTCTAACGAGTTGATAAGATTGGCCTGCATCTCTTTGAGTTGTATTCACGTACTATTATGCTAATGTTGCATATGAGAATAAAGAAAAAGATTATGCATACTGTTGCTTATAAGCCATTGTTCCATTTGATTATGTAGGTCATTAGTGGCCACTTGGGATGGGTACGATCTATTGCCTTTGATCCAAGTAATAAATGGTTTTGCACTGGCTCAGCAGATCGTACAATCAAGGTATTGAACTTTATGCTTCATTTGTCCAAGTTGGTCTATCTGAGTTGGTTCATGTGTTATTGTTATGCTGTCAGAGAAACTCAAGTTTTTTCCCCCTTTCCTGCAATGTTTTCTTCTCTCTAGAAGTTAAAATCAATTGCCTTTTTTTTTTTTTGTCTTCTTTTTCTGATACTTAAACGAAAATTTCTGAAGGATCATTTTTGGGGTTTTTATTGTAAATTTATGTTGGGTTGTGTTTGTTCTGATTTTTGTTGGTCAGATATGGGATGTAGGAACTGGAACATTACAGCTTTCACTGACTGGACATATTGAACAAATACGAGGTTCGTTTCTCTTGAATTATTGCTGGTGGGATTGCTTGCTTTTGGTTATCCATGCTGTGGTTAATGACTGTGTTGGCTGTGTTGGTAACAATAATTGGTTTTTTGCAGGACTTGCTGTTAGCAGCAGGCATACCTATATGTTTTCTGCTGGTGATGACAAACTAGTTAAATGCTGGGACCTTGAACAGAACAAGGTTGGAACTTCTATTAAATCAACTTTTTTTTCATTCTAGCTGTTCTCTAAGGAATACTGATTGTTACAACATAATTTTTTGTGTAGGTTATCCGTTCATATCATGGTCATCTAAGTGGTGTTTACTGCTTGGCTCTTCATCCCACTCTTGATGTTTTACTTACTGGGGGACGTGATTCTGTATGCAGGGTATGTACTTTGTCTTATTAGTAAAGTTCATTTCCTGCATATTTTAACGGATGAAGTACTTTTAGGGACTGAGCAAAGTCATTATTGTAATTTGTATCAGAGTGGCATTGTGGTAATGATACCTATGTTATGGTGCAATAAAATTTCAGGTTTGGGATATTCGAAGCAAGATGCAAGTTCATGCATTGTCGGGACATGATAACACAGTTTGCTCAGTTTTTACTCGACCAACAGTATGAAAAACCCTTACTCTCTTGCGTTCAATTTTCCTTGTGGTTTTCTGATTGTATTGCAGAGTATCCATGCATACATAAATTCATACAGTTCAGAATAATTACCTTATTCTTGCTGGTGTCATCATCGTAATAGTAACTTATATTTTTGCTGCTGTTATCTCTAGATGATTGGGATTCAGAGTTTTCTCTTATTTAATGTTGGGCTGAATTTTTGCTCTCCTCATCTGGCAGCAAATGCAAGTGTTAACAATTTCTTGCCATGCCCTAAGAATTGTATTATGTTGTGTTAGGTAGCCTTCACTGTTACATCATTCTTTATAAAAGTTTTGAATCCTGTAATCCTTGGCTCTCATTTCTTCCCTAAAGCACAGCTAATAAACAAGTTGCAGATAATTGAATTTACTGGCACTTTGAATTTCTACTTTTATGCTAAAACTACAAGTACAACTATGAATTTTTATTTATCTTTTTGTTGTGTATTTTTTCAAAAGTTAGATATCTATTTTTGGATGCTATCTTTATGTTTTTTTATAATTTTCATCCAGTGCTCTTTATATGGTTAAAATAGGCAATAGTTCTTATATTTTGTTACCTCATATTTCCAGGATCCACAAGTTATTACTGGCTCTCATGACTCAACCATCAAGTTCTGGGACCTTCGATATGGTAATTTATGTTCTTTAACTAATTGCAACTCAGTTTTGGTAATCCCTCTTTAAAAGTATTTTTTAAGTATCAATTTACATTCCTTGCAGGGAAAACGATGTCAACCCTCACACACCATAAGAAATCTGTGCGTGCAATGGCACAACATCCTAAAGAGTATGAACATTACTTGTTACTTCATGTGCAGTGAATTATCTTGCTAGTGTAGATTATTACACACCCTTAAATTGTATGCTTTGATGTCGTTTCTAATTGTGTTTGGTTGTCCAGAAATTGTTTTGCATCTGCATCAGCTGACAACATTAAGAAGTTCAACCTTCCAAAAGGCGAATTTTTACACAACATGCTGTGAGTATTTTAATAAACTTAATTTTTTCAATTTTCTGATGAATCAACAGTATTTAGTTTGAGTTTTTTTTTCATATAAATTATATTAGTTCTCTAGTGAGTTTCGTTAATAACAATATTCCTAAATTATTTGTTGTCTTTGAGCAGCTCTCAGCAGAAAACCATAATTAACGCAATGGCTGTCAATGAGGATGGAGTTATGGCCACTGGAGGTACGGATTTTTAACATATTAGCTAGGACACTTTTTTATTCCTTTTTTTCGTTTCATAAAACTTGGTAACTCAAACCTTTTCCCCATTTGTTTTATTGAAGGTGACAATGGGAGTGTCTGGTTTTGGGATTGGAAGAGCGGTCATAATTTTCAGCAATCCCAAACAATTGTACAGCCTGGTATGTCCACTGTGTTGTGCCTTTTTACCATTTTATGTTTTCTTCCCTACTTTTACGGTTTACTGAAGCATGGAGGGGGGCTAACATCTAGAGATGCTTTATTACAGGCTCACTGGATAGTGAAGCTGCTATATATGCTCTTTCCTACGATGTTACTGGTACAAGGCTGGTTAGTTGCGAAGCTGATAAGACGATCAAAATGTGGAAACAAGACGAAAATGCCACTCCAGAAACTCATCCCCTCAACTTCAGGCCACCTAAAGATATTCGACGGTTCTAGTTCAATCCTCCTTTGCTGTTGCTCCCTTTTGTGACATGTGTAATATCAAAATGTGTAATATGTGATTCACTATTTACTGTTTTGGTGAAGGCTTTCTACTGTTGTCGTGCTGCTTGTTACTATGAGATAGGAACTATACAAATTTTGATGTATTATTTACTACTCCTAGTTAAATATATGTCGAACATGTTCTTGAATTAGATTCAGAAAGAATTTTTGTCAAGCACTAGAAAATTTTGTTTTTTCATAGTAAAATTTCTTCTTTTTTTCAAGGGAAAAAGATTCAAAATCCCCCTTGCGTCCATCCTCTGCTTTTTTGACTAACCGGAAGGGGATTAAATCTTTAATTTGTGGACTGCCCGCATGTTAAGCGACAGCCAACACAGGCTTTGCCTCTGCTTGCGATGCAGTGTTGTTTAACTCTGTTTCCATGCCCAATGCACTCTGTATTACATAAATCTCGGGGAAGAGTTCAATCAGCAAATGCCGCGGCATCTGCCGTAAGAAGCTCATTCGCAAATCTGTTCCTTTTCTTTCTACTCAAAGCCTAAAACCTCAACTTCTACCATTTTTGCCCTTGTTTCAATTTCACATTCGTCTTTTACGTCCTTTCTTTCCTTTAAATAACAATTGTAGGCAGAAGTTGAGGCAAAGTCCTAAGTTCGAGTTCTAACATCCGTTTAATATGTGAGTTTAATATATTATCACCCTCTCAGCCCCCTGCAGCATGTGGCAACGCTACATTCCTTGATGTGAGGTTAGGGACACACACTATTTAGTCCCGAGGGGCACAGTCGGCACTTCATTCATCTGCCACGTGGTGCTCTGTGAATGTCATTTGATGAATGATGATGCATCTATATATCTTTGCATGAATTTTGACCAAGTTAAAAGAAATCAAGACAGCTGTCTGTCTATAGGAGCATGAACTCTATAGCATAGGGATTGGGGAGGAAACCAAAAAAACCAGTCAAAGTAAAAGTGCTTACCAAACAATATTACGTTTTAGTTACCTTTGCCATAACTGTAATCATCCCAAGTCTGGTGCCAAAAGTAAGCAAGTAACTCCCTCTCTCTCTCCCATTGCCATATTGCCTAAAAAGCAACCCAAAACCCAGAGAGATGCACGCACATAGCACGCGCCTTAGAACGATTATACGGCAAAATTTCATGCATGAAAGTCCCCATGTACGGACCACTTCGACCCAAAAAACTGCTCTCCCAACCCACATATCACTCAACACACACCCAACCTCCATCTCTCCCTCTCTCTCTCTCTCTCTCTCCCCCATCCCATGCTGCCCACCTTTTTCCATTTTCCATCTGTTTCAATCCAAGCTAGCTACCTCCATTTCGATCAAAACCAAAACTTTCCCAACAAAATCTGAACGACTCACAAAACCCAACTTGAAATTATGATCAGCTCCGATAACCAGTCTTTAGTTCACAGAACCCACACAACCCAATCTCATCAGCAAGATGAACAACCCGACCAATCATCACAACCCACCATTGATTTTGATCCTCAAAACAATTGCAGGCCTCCCCATACAAACCCACTTCGCTATTTGCTTCGCGAGCAGCGCCTCGTCTTCCTCCTCATTGGCATCACCATAGCCACCCTCTTCTTCAGCAGCTTCCCCTTATCAAACCCGGAATTGGTGACGACCCACGACCCGGGTTTTGAATCCGGATCGGGTCTCGATCTCCCGGCCAACCCGACCCGGAGGGTACTCTACGAGGCCCGGGGTGTTGGGTTTGGGTCTGTGATGAGCGCGGGCGGGAAGGTGCCGCTGGGGTTGAAGAAGAAGAACCAGAGGATTGTGGTGACCGGTGGGGCCGGGTTCGTGGGGAGCCACCTCGTGGACCGTCTGATCGCGAGAGGGGACAGCGTGATCGTACTGGATAATTTCTTCACGGGGAGGAAAGAGAACCTGGTGCACCACTTCGGGAACCCGAAGTTCGAGCTCATTCGACACGACGTCGTTGAGCCGATTCTTTTGGAGGTTGACCAGATCTATCACCTCGCTTGCCCTGCCTCCCCTGTTCATTACAAGTTCAATCCGGTCAAGACAATTATATCCTTTTTATTATTGTCTAGTAAATTATTTGTATTTATAATTTTCTTTTTTCTTTTTTAGCTAAATGAAAATCAAAGTTAAAGTAACTCATTATTTTATGTGCATGCATGAAACTCTTCAAATTATAAATTTATTAGTTTGCGCAAATACAAGGAAAAAGTTCAGTTTAAAATTCAAAAAATATTTAATTTCATTACCAAGTAAAAGATAAGATTTATTTCATACAAAAGTATGTAATAAGAAAATTCGTAATTTATCCAAATTTTCAGTTGAATATTGAATGATAGGATGTATATATGTTGTGGTTAAAGTGATATTTTTGTTTGATTTGCTAGGAATTACTAGAACTCGGCTAGTTTCTACTGATATGTTGGTGTAGATTGTTCTTTGGGGTTTTTCCCCCTTTTTTTCATTTTTGTGTTTTTTTTTTTAAGTGATATTTTTGTTTTGGGTTTGGGGTCCTTGATTTGTTGTGTGAGCTTGGGGTTCACAAGACCAATGTGGTGGGCACATTGAACATGCTGGGACTGGCAAAAAGAGTAGGTGCACGCTTCTTGCTCACAAGCACCAGTGAGGTGTATGGTGACCCCTTGCAGCACCCTCAGGCTGAGTCCTACTGGGGCAATGTCAACCCCATCGGTGAGTCACTCCCAAACCTCTATCTCTTTCTCCTCATTATTTATTGTAGCAATGTTCTCAAATAACACTATTACAGTAGGAAATCCAGATAGTGTAAAAGTATAGACACTATCGACAACATATCGAAATGATATGAATATAATTAGACAATTTTCTGTAATAACAGTTCAAGTTAGAATCAATTTCACTATATTTACTAATTATATTGTTAATTTGAGTCTCTCGTAACGTGAGACGAGTAATATTTGATCACATTTCTCATCATGAAAAAGAGACTTACGTGTGATCAGCAATGCAATGCGACCTAGTGAAAAATATGTTCTCTCTACATGGTTCAAAACTTGATCATTTCAAAACAAGTGTTTTAGGCTATGATTATAAATTTGCAATTCTCTTTTGACATGGTTCTGTTGGCATTTGGCAGGTGTAAGGAGCTGTTACGATGAAGGAAAACGCACAGCAGAACCCGAAGTTCGAGCTCATTCGACACGACGTCGTTGAGCCGATTCTTTTGGAGGTTGACCAGATCTATCACCTCGCTTGCCCTGCCTCCCCTGTTCATTACAAGTTCAATCCGGTCAAGACAATTATATCCTTTTTATTATTGTCTAGTAAATTATTTGTATTTATAATTTTCTTTTTTCTTTTTTAGCTAAATGAAAATCAAAGTTAAAGTAACTCATTATTTTATGTGCATGCATGAAACTCTTCAAATTATAAATTTATTAGTTTGCGCAAATACAAGGAAAAAGTTCAGTTTAAAATTCAAAAAATATTTAATTTCATTACCAAGTAAAAGATAAGATTTATTTCATACAAAAGTATGTAATAAGAAAATTCGTAATTTATCCAAATTTTCAGTTGAATATTGAATGATAGGATGTATATATGTTGTGGTTAAAGTGATATTTTTGTTTGATTTGCTAGGAATTACTAGAACTCGGCTAGTTTCTACTGATATGTTGGTGTAGATTGTTCTTTGGGGTTTTTCCCCCTTTTTTTCATTTTTATTTTTTTTAAAAAGTGATATTTTTGTTTTGGGATTGGGGTCCTTGATTTGTTGTGTGAGCTTGGGGTTCACAAGACCAATGTGGTGGGCACATTGAACATGCTGGGACTGGCAAAAAGAGTAGGTGCACGCTTCTTGCTCACAAGCACCAGTGAGGTGTATGGTGACCCCTTGCAGCACCCTCAGGCTGAGTCCTACTGGGGCAATGTCAACCCCATCGGTGAGTCACTCCCAAACCTCTATCTCTTTCTCCTCATTATTTATTGTAGCAATGTTCTCAAATAACACTATTACAGTAGGAAATCCAGATAGTGTAAAAGTATAGACACTATCGACAACATATCGAAATTATATGAATATAATTAGACAATTTTCTATAATAACAGTTCTAGTTAGAATCAATTTCACTATATTTACTAATTATATTGTTAATTTGAGTCTCTCGTAACGTGAGACGAGTAATATTTGATCACATTTCTCATCATGAAAAAGAGACTTACGTGTGATCAGCAATGCAATGCGACCTAGTGAAAAATATGTTCTCTCTACATGGTTCAAAACTTGATCATTTCAAAACAAGTGTTTTAGGCTATGATTATAAATTTGCAATTCTCTTTTGACATGGTTCTGTTGGCATTTGGCAGGTGTAAGGAGCTGTTACGATGAAGGAAAACGCACAGCAGAGACTCTCACCATGGATTACCATAGAGGCCTTGGCATTGAGGTAACTTTTTGAATTTTCTCTGTCTCATTGCCTTGGTTTTATGGGTCTAATGTACATAACGTCTTGCAGGTGAGAATTGCTCGGATTTTCAATACTTATGGACCACGTATGTGTATCGATGATGGTCGTGTTGTTAGCAATTTCGTAGCTCAGGTGTGCTTTTTTGTTATAAAAAAAATGCATGAATTCATTTTTATTTTCCTACAAAAATTTATGCGTCTATGAACTACACAGGCACTAAGGAAGGAGCCATTGACAGTTTACGGTGATGGCAAGCAAACCAGAAGTTTCCAATACGTTTCTGACTTGGTACATTTCTCCTCCTTTTGTCCTGATCATGGTCAAAGTAAAGTTATGGTGAAACAGTTTCTTCTGCATTAAATTGTAAATCATTCTGAAAAAGGAAGATGTTTTCTGCATATTTGGCAAAAACCCATTCAAAATGCTTATAATAATGTATCATTTGTATTGGTTCAAACAATTTTCATGAAATTTAGAGTTTGAACAATTTGTGTTTGTTAGCAATTTCGTAGCTCAGGTGTGCCTTTTTGTCAAACAGAATTTTTTTTTGCATGAATTCATTTTGATTTTCCTACAAAATTTTATGCGTCTATGAACAACACAGGCACTAAGGAAGGAGCCATTGACAGTTTACGGTGATGGCAAGCAAACCAGAAGTTTCCAATACGTTTCTGACTTGGTACATTTCTCCTCCTTTTGTCCTGATCATGGTCAAAGTAAAGT